AAAACACTGGTTCCCACAATTACAAGCGACAGCAATGAAACCAATTTGCTGGACACAAAATGTTTTCCAATTCTGGAATTATCCTATTGTCCATCACTAAATCACATTCAATTTGTTGTGTGTGTGTATATATGTATATATATATATACTGAACCAGTTGCCAGCCAATCGCAGGGCACACAGAGACAAACAACCATCCGCGCTCACATTCACACCGAGGGACAATTTAGAGTGTTCAATCAGCCTGCCATGCATGTTTTTGGAATGTGGGAGGAAACCGGAGTACCCGGAGAAAACCCACGGAGGCCCGGGGAGAACTTAGTCATTGCTTAAAAACAATTAATCATGCAAAATTGATGCAGCCATTTATTCATGTCAATGCTGAAAGAAAACTCATCTCATAGTGCAGATAAGTGAGTTTGTCATTATGATCCCCAATGCCTCGCTTTCCTTGGAACCTCAGCTTGGTGACAACATCGCTCTACATTCAATTTCTATGGGAATTGTATTAAAGTGTGTAAAGTGTGGACTCTATGTTTGACTTTACTACCTCATCTGCTGTGTGTGGATGACCCTTGAGTTCAGTCTCCTCCAGCGACGTCACAGGAGAGACGAATTTTTATGACTTTGTCCTGACATCTAGTGGATAGCAAGAAAAATGTTGCCCTGAAAACAAAGCCATTGACACATGAAACAAATACCTCTGTTCTTCTACGCTAGCTGTTCAATGGTCCCATTGACAGCTCAGATGTAAAGTGTATTCTACAAAAATACCTTTACATGACAGTAACTTGTGATTGTGACATTTACAGCGCCACTCAACCACAAATTAAATGTGGGACTGGATAGTTCACTGTCACTGTCAAGAAAGTGACAGTGTGAATTTTTCTTGCAAAAAAAAAAAGTCAGGCATGATTTCCAAGTTCTCGAGTGTGTTGGACCGTAAGACTTGTCAGAGTTGTAAAAGTCAACAAACCATGTCATGCATATAGAATTGGTGGCCCAGTGTGAGAAGAAATGTGAGCAGACATCACGGAGTAACAAACTCCCGCATTTCACATTCGTTTGAGTGCAGCAAGGAGTCGAAGTATATGGGGAGCTTTGAGTTGAGCGATGATGTCAAAGTGATGTTCTACCTTTGGAATTCTGGAACTAATAGCACAATTTAAAAAAATGTATTTTACCTTTATTTATCCAGGTACGGCGATTGAGAATGTATTCTTATTTGCAATGCTGACCTGAGAGCAGACAATAAAGTGGAAAAAAAAAAAAGCAAAATAAAAAAATGGTACAACAAATTGAATGTGATTTAGTGATGGACAATAGGATAATTCCAGAATTGGAAAACATTTTGTGTCCAGCCAATTTGTTTCATTGCTGTCTCTTGTAATTGTGGGAACCAGTGTTTTAATAAACATATTTTAAATAATGATTACTATTCACGGCTGCCCGGTAGTCCAGTAGTTAGCGCATCAACCTCACAGTGCAGAGGTTGTGGGTTTGATCCCCGCTCCAGCCTTCCTGTGTGGAGTTTGCATGTTCTCCCCGGGCCTGCGTGGGTTTTCTCCCGGTACTCCGGTTTCCTCTGACATTTCAAAAAACGTGCATGGCAGGTTAAAGGAACACTCCAAATTGTCCCAAGTAGTGAGTGCAGATGGTTGTTTGTCTCTGTGTGCCAGGCTGGCAACCGGTTCAGGGTGTCCCCTGCCTACTGCCCGAAGACAGCTGGGATAAGCTCTATAACCCCCGGCGACCCTTGTGAGGATAAAGTGGATCGGAAAATGGATGGCTGCATAGATATTATTATTCATGGTATGTGTTTCCCACAACATGCACACAACCCTGTTACCATAATCTTTTTAGCATGGTAGAGGAGGAGGAAAGGAGTGAATCACATGATATGATACGCTGGACTTGACATCATTAAACACTTTTTCAAAAGAAAGGGTACAGCAAAGGTATGTCCTCTCTTCTATTTTTCATATTTTTATAACATAGTTAGCCTTGATGAAAAGTCTCACTGTACATCATGCAACCATTTTATGCATATGATCGGAATAAGACAATTTTTTCTCTTTACTTATTTACATAAGTAAGTTGATCCTCTTGGTCAGCAGTCACACAGCGAGCTAAAAAGTCAGCATATACTCCTGCGAGAAAGCTAACATTCGTCCGGATTTGCAACTCTGTTACTGTGATCACAGTGACAGGTATTGTAAACACCAAATAAAGCATGGAATAAAAAATGAAACATTTATCTAAACTGAGCTAATCAAGCCTTTGATGGTTTAGAACCTATTATTGATGAATATGTAGTAGAAAATCAGAAAAGTGAAGATTTCTTTTTCAAGAAATTTGAAGCCAAAATCTCCTCCAATTCTGTAATCATAGCACATAGGAGGAGAAAGAGTATTATCGGAAGCTCACCCGACTTTCACAAAGTGACATGTGGCCAAGGCCAACTGCTTGGAAGGCAGCTTGTGAAAGCTCGGGAACAAACTGAATAGCGATCGGAACCCACAAATGTAGACACCAAACAAAACCCCAGAGCAACAAATATTTATTGACAAGAACAAACGCGCACCGACAAAGTATGAACAGAAATGGCTGGTCAACAAGAACCAGGAAAAACAATACATTAACAAAAAACGCTTGCAAAAGGCAAGGAAATAGTTAAACCGAGAAAACCAACAAAATGTCAAGAGTCCAATTCAGACGCAAAAACAAAAGCAACATCAAATGACTAAACAAAGATTATACTTGAAAACGTGCTACAAAGGGAACACGAATGACTATGACAAGAGGTCTAGAAAACAAATACTTGAGCAAGAGCAGCAACAAGCTCAATAATCCGACAAGCAGCAGGCAGCTTGTCAGTCCTGAAATACATGGCTAATGAATATTGGGAGCAGGTGTGCACACTGAAGGGAAGGCCCTCGTTTGCCACCTGCTGGAGAAACACAACAACAGGATCATGACACAGCTATGCTAACCACCACCATTCACACAACCAGATACTGGTACAATGATAAAACTCGGTATCACTCACTTTGATAATGGTTTATTATGTCATTACATTAAGTTGTTTTAAACAAGGTCGATCTTAACATGTCAGAGAAAAGGGTTTGAATTTGCAGTGTATCTCCTGGATACTTTATAGCTTTTGTGCAAAAACTACATCTTTAAATGCTATATTATAATATTGAGGTGCTTTAATTTCATGATAAGTCCTCAAATTTTATGATGAATGTCATTCTGGGTAGATATGTATTTTTCAAATTGCTTTCAAAATGTCGAAAGGGAAGCAGTGTACAGTTTAATTGTAAAGATTGAAAGAATATAATCAAATAGGATGAAATAGCATACAATACTCGGCTTTATATCCTTCAACACACACACACACACACACACACACACACACACACACACACACACACACACACACACACACACACACCAAAACACTGTATTACTATTATTATGCTGATGATAAATTATTCAAAACAATCTAGTAAAAGAACATGCTTGTTCACGCTGTCTTGACACTAGATGGTGCTGTGTAACTTGCGTGTTTCACAACTTGTCCAGGCCTGCATGAGGTCACAATGCAAGTTTGGCCATTTTCATTTCAGCATGACCAAAATTTCTTTTGATTTGTTTTGTAGAAGCAGAGACCTTCATGTTTCACTTTTGACGGCAGGATGACAAAGCAACCACAGAGGTGGATGTGGAATTAAAGGGTCAAAGAGAGAAATGTGTTGCTTGGCTCAAATAACTCTCGACTTCAAGACGTCAAATTTCAAGAGTGAAATTGAAATAATTATTTGCTTTTCTGTTGAGGGATACACCAGTTGTGAAGAGTCCAAGGAAAATGCAAAAATAATAACACCCCATGTGCTCTGGCTGGAGAGTATGGCACTGCAATGTCTACCTCTCATGTGCAGTTAGGTCATTTATGAGATGATTATGCATTTCTTCTAGCCAACAAAACCAAGCATCTTGCCAAAACAAATCTTTAAAAGGGCCCGCGATGACTTATGTGACAGGAGTAGTTAGGGCTAGGACTGTTTGTTCCTTTTCATTCTTCTGTGTTTGTGCTTCAGCGGCACAAGATATCAACAAAGTCAGTGTTATCGATGATCCTTGCTATAACCAAGTTGCTGAAATCAAACCACACGGTGATTGAGTCTGGTGGATATTGAGAACGCTCTCCCTCAAGTCACATGTGAGTTTGCTACGGTGTTGCCAAACAGGCCCTATATTTAGAGCAGGAATTTACACAGAGACCTCGTGGAAGGGGATCATAATAACAAGCAGCATGCGGCATGCTCTACAAAGAGACAGCCCCCTCTGGATCAGAGAGTCACACAGCAGCAACGCAGAGCAAAGCAGGAGAAAGTGCAAGAAAATTGGTAGCCGTCAGTGTTTTTCTGCTGAGTGCTTGCTGCTAATACATTGAAGGACCCTGCAGAAGCCAGATATAGGGCCAAGAAGGTAAGCCTTGTCATTGGATGAAGCAGAGACTGCTCAATGGGTTTGGGAAATAGATACTGCTAGATTTGATTGTTACTTCATTGAATAAATTTTTAAAAAAGCACAGTGCTGTGTGGCTTTGCATTTGAAGTCCCTATCTGTCCGGAAGTCACCATGTGATGTCTGTACACACTACATTAGGAGCACCAACATTACATTAAATGAGAGCCGACGAAAAAAAAAAAGAGCTGAATTTAAATGATGATTAAGAGACTAATTGATCAGCTGAACAATATGTTTCTTATAGTAGCTTCTCGTGCTGTGTAGTTGTACATCAGCATCTCATATTTTGCACCAAATTTATGAGAGAAAGAAAGAAACAACAACAACAACGATCATAATACTAAATAAATACCTCTGGACATCCATCCATCCATTTTACATTGTGATTGTAATCATTCATCGCTGAGAGGTAGGGTATACACAGGACTGGTCGGCAGTTACTCGCTCACCTCTAATCACATAATTGCTTATATTATTATTGTTGGAAAGGTTCATACTTCTTTAAAAAAAAACAACTCATTTATCCCTTATATTGGATCTGTATGGAGCCAATAAGGTGACAAAAGACAAACTTTGCATTCCTTCACAAATATTGTGAGATAACGTGAAATAGTTTAAAAAAATGTTTATAAGATGCATTTATTCTTCCGGGTCATTTTCCGGGTAAATGAAAGCAACTGAGATGGAGCGTTTTCACCTGTGAGTGAATTTAATTGGATTATACTTAGAAATTGTCTTGAAATACAAATACCGGTACATAAAATCTGTTCTTGATCTTAAGTATGGTTTCCAAATAAGCGAAAGATATCTGAAGCATACTATTTTCTCTCTAACAGCCGCGGGTGAGAGGCAATAGTAGCTAAATTGACCTGGAAGTACATAAATGTTCATTTAAAAACAGTGGCGGACCCTGAGGGCCAGCAAGGCCTTCTCTGCTGGCCTAAACATTCTCAGAAAAGTCAATTTACTTTTATGTATTTTATGTTATTTTATAATTTATGTTATTTTATTTTCATAAATATGTAAACAAAATTATTCTCTGTATTCTTTATATCATATTATTTCCACTTAGTTGAGTGGCTGTTATTTTAAATAACATTGAAAGCCACTCGATAAATAACTTATTTATTATGGTAGAGTTTTTAACCAATCATATTTCAGCTAGCTTGCGTTGCCAGGTAAATTAAACTTGCTCGGG